ACAATGTGTGAAGCCCCTTCCAGGTGTCCCCCGCCGTGATATTGCTGGATTATTGCTAAAAGCGGCGCAAATTTATACTCCCTCACTCACTCTTAACTGAGGAAAATCTTGACTTGCTCCTTTCAGAGCTCCTTTAAAACATACGATACATAACAGATTGGTCTTGGCGGAAAAAAAATAATATCGTTCAAGGACAGTGAGACAGACTAAAGTTCATACAACGAAACCCGAGCCAAGACATACATAGACAACCTTGAGTCTCGGAGTCAGTATAACCATGCCGACATTTCTTCTCTTCACGAATGTGGCAGCAAGTGCCATCCCAAAGGGGTTTCTGTCAGAAACCACAAAAATCATCTCCAAAGCCATTCGGAAACCGGAAAATGTAAGTTTCAGCTTTCGTGCAGAAGCAGGACATTAATTTCCTAACTGAAATATTTTATTTAAATGGTCAATGTTTTAGGCAGAAATTTGACTAACTTTTGATAATGCTAAAATATTTTATATAAAGAGTAAAGGGAAGAAACTGACCAGACGTCAAGATGCTTCACATCAGGACATTTTGGTCATTTTTAAAAACACACACACTATCAACCCCTTTTTACGTCATATTATTGTGTCAAAAACTGACAAACATTTTAAAGCTAGTCTTGCCAGTTTAAAACATTTTCACTTAAAAAGCCAACGATAGACGGTTGTGGGGATTCTTCGTCAGAATTATTTGTTTGTTGATATGCTTGTTCTTGTGTAAATTGATATGAGGCTCCGTGACTGAAGATTTATTACCAGGTCACTGTGACCTGTAATGCAGACCGACATCACGGCTCAGCATGGGTCCGGCCTTGGGACATGATTCTACGTTGCTGTAACATCTTTATGAGCTATCACATATAACTAAAAAAACATTAAGAAATGATATTCATGTGATTACAGTTGAGAAGGTATTCAAGGTATGACAATATATAAACATACACACGCATGCCTACGTGCGCACATACGCTCTGACACACCTGAGGAATAAGAGACAATCATGGCTGGATGGAGAGGAAATTTCCATATTTCAATGTTTGCTAATTGTTGTTGTTATTGAGGCAAATCCTTACTGGTCACACAGGTACTGGCACACAGACATAGACAGGGACACATACACCAGACACACAGGCAGAGGCAGAGACAGACACACAGACACGGACGCGCACTATGCGCACTATGCACACAGACACAGACACATACACCAGAGACACGGAGACACAGGCAGACACAGACACACATACACGGACACATACACCACATACACGGAGACACAGGCAGACACAGACACGGTCGCACACTATACACACAGACACGGACACATACACCAGAGACACGGGCAGACACAGACACACAGACACGGACACATACACCAGATACACGGAGACACAGGCAGACACACAGACACGGTCGCACACTATACACACAGACACGGACACATACACCAGATACACGGAGACACAGGCAGGCACACAGACACGGACACCTACACCAGATACACGGAGACACAGGCAGACACACAGACACGGTCGCACACTATACACACAGACACGGACACATACACCAGATACACGGAGACACAGGCAGACACACACACACAGACACGGTCGCACACTATACACACAGACAGAGACACACAGACACGGTCGCACACTATACACACAGACACAGGCAGACACAGACACCAGATACACGGAGACACAGGCACACACGGACACGGACACATACACCAGGTACACGGAGACACAGGCACACACGGACACGGACACATACACCAGGTACACGGAGACACAGGCAGAGACAGACAAAGACACGAACACAAACGAGACACATACACAAGACACACAGACAGACACACACTACGCACACGGACACATACACTAGACACAAGGACACATACACCGGACACACAGAGACACATCAGGGCATGCTTGAAGCTGTACAATTACATAATAAACCTCTCGCTAAATTATATTGAAGTGGTGCAATCTTACGAGCATCTTAAAATGGGTGCCACAACCATTGATATATGGTTGTCTTATATATTCAAACTGGAAAAGGAAACGATACACCACTATGTGCAAACTGGGTCAGAATATATTTGGTGTGCTTTTCACTGTGTAAGCATGAAATTGATATGAGACTCAATGACCTTGAATATTTATTGTCAGGTCACAATGACCTGATATACACTGACTCCACCTTTCATTGTGAATCTGTTGGGTCTTTTCAGGATAGTAAAGACACACACAGACACAACAAAACCCAAAGTGGTTGAGCTTGATCGTTGAGCTTGATCGTCTTTCATTTCCTCAGCTTATTCAGTTATTCACTTGATTTATTCTTTCATTTCCTCAGCTTATTCAATCATTCACTTGGTTTATTCTTTCATTTCCTCTGCTTATTCAATCATTCAGTTGATTTACTCTTTCATTTCCTCGGCTTACTCAATCATTCACTTGGTTTATTCTTTCATTTCCTCAGCTTATTCAATCATTCAATTGATTTATTCTTTCATTTCCTCGGCTTACTCAATCATTCACTTGGTTTATTCTTTCATTTCCTCAGCTTATTCAATCATTCAATTGATTTATTCTTTCATTTCCTCTGCTTATTCAATCATTCACTTGGTTTATTCTTTCATTTCTTCTGCTTATTCAATCATTCACTTGATTTATTCTTTCATTTCCTCAGCTTATTCAATCATTCAGTTGATTTACTCTTTCATTTCCTCTGCTTACTCAATCATTCACTTTGTTTATTCTTTCATTTCCTCAGCTTATTCAATCATTCACTTGATTTATTCTTTCATTTCCTCTGCTTATTCAATCATTCACTTAGTTTATTCTTTCATTTCTTCTGCTTATTCAATCATTCACTTGATTTATTCTTTCATTTCTTCAGCTTATTCAATCATTCACTTAGTTTATTCTTTCATTTCCTCTGCTTATTCAATCATTCACTTGATTTATTCTTTCATTTCCTCTGCTTATTCAATCATTCACTTGATTTACTCTTTCATTTCCTCGGCTTACTCAATCATTCACTTGATTGATTCTTTCATTTCCTCTGCTTATTCAATCATTCACTTGATTTACTCTTTCATTTCCTCTGCTTACTCAATCATTCACTTGGTTTATTCTTTCATTTCTTCTGCTTATTCCATCATTCACTTGATTTATTCTTTCATTTCCTCAGCTTATTCAATCATTCACTTGGTTTATTCTTTCATTTCCTCTGCTTATTCAATCATTCACTTGATTTATTCTTTCATTTCCTCTGCTTATTCAATCATTCAGTTGATTTACTCTTTCATTTCCTCGGCTTACTCAATCATTCACTTGATTTATTCTTTCATTTCCTCTGCTTACTCAATCATTCACTTGATTTATTCTTTCATTTCCTCGGTTTACTCACATGGTCGAACAATTATTGTATTCCACCTTGAACATAATAACTCTTAGTCTGCTGAAGTACAGCAGATTCTTAAATCATGAATACTTTTATTTGACATGTGCATGTTGCACTTAAACATATACAAAGACAAGCCAGTTGTTCACCTGAAATAATTCGGGAACGTATGGTATAAGTCAAAATAGGGAATTGCATCGGGCATCATTTTGTCACTGGTGCATCAAACATGGAAATATCCTCCACATGTCTACCATAAAACGTCTTGAAAACTGTACGGAATGTTGTAACCTTGATCGAACAACTTCTATCAGGGTATATCATATCAATGACCCATTGACAAGAGAGACTGCACTGTCGCATATAAAAATCGACTGATTTGGATAAAGTGTAAACTGAACACACGATCCCACTGAGTCTTAAATATCACTTACTTTAAACCTATACGTGAAATATCTAAACATGGAGATAACAAAACTAAGTTAGCGCAATGTTCATGTATTCTTCAAGTTTATTACACATCGCCAGTCTACTCTATGGGCTCCTTCAGAAACGTTTGTTTGGTCAAAGTTCGAGGTACACATATGCATCGGAGTCGGGTAATATGGTTGCCCAAGTGAATATACTATCCAAAAAAAGAAACGCATAGGCCAGAAATCTGTTGCGAAAATGTTGTGTTTTCAAACATGTATAACTCGTCCACAAATAGACTTTAGTGCATGGATTTTTACACCAGTTTAGAAGAAGGGAATGTCTATACAACCAAGTGGATACTCTTAGATAACGAAGACGTTGAGCGCGATGGTGACGACGTAGCACGGTCCCGACGTCGGGTCTCCTGGCCCTCAGACCAATCTCTTTCAACCTGTTCCGTACAGATTGACCGGATATCCTCCAAAGTCCAGGCACCCTGGCTGCTGTGCTCTCACCCGTGGCAGTACGATCACGCAAATGTAGTACCCGGATGTACCGATCTTGGGCTGCAGTGGTGACTCGAGGTCTGCCTGTACGGGGACGGTCATTTGTTATACCTGTTTGGTTGCAACGAGCTGCAAGCCGTGATTTCGTGCTGATAATCTCCATTCTTTCAATGGCGATGTTCCGTGTCGCAGAGTCAAGACGTCGCGTGGGGATTTGACCTTGAAACTCCTTCAAAACGAATGCCAATTTCCGAAAGTAATCTGGAATTTTATTGCCAGACAGTGCATGCTCTTTACTGCACAATTTCAACTGGAAGGTGATTTCTGTTGCGTTGTGGCGATGCCTTTTTAATCCTTGTACGAAATCTCATCAAGATCAACATTTTCAGGTAAACTCGATTTTGTACTTGTGCAATTGTGTAAAATCATGTTATCAACACTTTTGTTACATATTTTGACGATTGTTTGAACACAATAGGTAATTAATAGATTTTAAAAAATACCAATCGCCTATGCGTTTCTTTTGGGGGATAGTATATATTTGTGTTATCTCATACTCGTTGGAGTGCAGTGCGACCCGGCTTAACCAAATACCAGCAACACCCGGCTGATTTGCAAAACAACAAAGGTCTTCATATATATAGCGGGGACAGAAACGAGTGACAGCTAAAACGTTTGTGTCTCGGAGTAAGGATAGCCATGCCGTGTTTTCTTCTCTTCACGAACGTGGCAGCAAGTGCCATCCCAAAGGGGTTTCTGTCTGAAACCACAAAGATTATCTCCAAAGCCATTCGGAAACCAGAAAGTGTAAGTTCAAGTTTTCAAGTTTCAAGTCTATATTTCAATGCACCAGAAAGAAACATTATTCGAAGCCACAACATGTCTGTGAATAGCCAATGTTCTTTGAAGTCGAAATTTGATTGTTACACTAGTCCTATCAAAACTGAGAGAAAATGACAAGGCAAAAAGACACAGACACAGACACACACAAGACCCGCACGCACGCAAGCACGCACGCATGCACGCACGAACGCACACAAGCTCCAAAAAAAGTCCAAAACATGTCTTGATATCAAAGACATGTTTTGGACTTTTGGTGGAGCTTTTGTGTGTGTGCGCGCGCGCGTGTGTGTGTGTGTGTGTGTGTGTGTGTGTGTGTGTGTGTGTGAGTGTGCGCGCGCGTGCGTGCGTGTCTGTCTGTGCGTGTGTCGGGGGGGGGGGCGTGCGTGTGTGTGTGTGTGCGTGTGTGTCTGTGTGTGTGGTTCAGGAAACAGAAAAGAATATCATAATGAAAATAATAATTGGGATTTCAATCCAGGCGTCAGTCCCCATAAATGATATATAGTAAAACGTATTCAGTCGAGTCACTCTCAACCTGGCCGACGTCCCACGATGTCGCCACGAAATTCATACTCTGCTAGGGACTGATAACGTAGCCTGGAATCTGCATAGAGGTCTACGATACTTGAATACACTTCATCTTTGGGTCTGGCGTCATTAATCAAGATGATGTTTGAACACAAGAGCCGTAAAACGGGGACTACCTTAACCACTTGCTTCTTGTGGGTGATTTTGTGTGAGGCTGGTGTTTAATACGGTAAATTCCAGTTGTGCCATACTGACCTGTAAAGAGTAAGTGCGTGAGTTTAGTTTTACACCACACTCAGCTATATTCGAGCTAAATAATCGAGTCGAGATCAACAGCATATCGATCTGGCAGGCGGTCTGTATATAATCGAGTCTGCCCGTTAGTCGCCACTTACGACAGGCATGGCTTACTGAAGGTTTATTCTAACCCGGACCTTCACGGGTGACCTGTAAAGGGTTAGGACCAGAGAATTAGTGATTGATGTTATGAGCACACGATGTAAGGTATGATGGCACACATTCAACAAGGTAATCTTACCATCTAATCCATTAAATAACTTCTTACAACAAGCATTGAATGTTAGATACCAATCGTCGCTGGTAGTAATGGTTTTATTTCATTGTTTGCCTTAATCTGTTATTATTGGTAAAATGCTCAACAAATGAGTTGTTTAACCCACGAAAACCGAAAGTTGTTGAGTTTAATCATGATAGATCAATGCCATATTAAATGAACTTTTTAACCAAAAAACCCGATAGTTGTTACGCTTAATGATGATATATATCTATGCTCTATAAATACGTTGGTTAACCCAAGAAAACCAAGAATTGTTGAGTTTAATCATGGTAAGTCAATGTTCTGTAAACGAGTTGTGTAATCCCAAAAACTAAAGTTGTTTAACCAATGGTCTATAAATGAAAACCAAGAGATGTTCAGTTTAAAATTGCTGAGTTTAAAAATGGTATATCATGACGCAATGTCGGACTGCACTGTTCTGTTTAAAATCGCCTTTCTAAGCACTCACTCACTCAAAGCAAATATTTTACAGTCAAATAGACATCATTTACTTCAAATCTATTCCACCTTAAAAGATCTTAACATATTTAGATAAAATTGCTGCAATGTCACGCAATGTTCGTGTTTTCAAAGCCTCTTCCATAAAAGCTATGATGTCAATACTGTGGTCATTGCATTTGAAGATGCGTCGATTACCCATATTATTACAGCATCCCTAAATATGTTGACCGCTAACAGAATTATGTTCAAGTTCAGCTTGTGTATGATGACGTATCAGACCTAGAATAGAGGCAGTTATCCAAACACGTTGAGGGTACACTAGATATTCATTGTACGACGTACCCCAGGTTAGAAATAAACGTATTTTACTGCGTCTATTGTGTATTTTATTTCATGTAATCGTTCACGTGACACTTTAATAAACTATATCTGTCTGTCTGTCTGTCTCATCACATAGCCATGTTGCCTGATCCTCTCTCTGGCGCCATCTTTTTAACAGGTATCATTTTGAGCCAAAGAAGATTATTTGTGTATTGTGCCAAATGCGTTATTAAGGAAACCGTCCTTTTGTGTTTTCTTGTAATTCTGTAGTTTTCTGTGCGGGCACATCACTGATGTAACCCGAAATATACTACATTGGGAAAATGACCCGCTCAAACATAGCTCAAGCTGCTAAACTCTCTTCAAGTTGTAGTGAGTGAGTGAGTATGGTTTTACAGCACTTTTAGCAATATTCCAGTAATATCACGGCAGGGACACCAGAAACGGGTTTCACATATTGTACCCATGTGTGCGGGGAATGGAACCCGGGCCTTCAGCGTGACGAGCGAACGCTTTAACCACTAGGCTACCCCACCGCCCTTTTCCAGTTGTAAATACACATCACAGTTGATGTTGCTTGTAAAGTGGACTGCGTGGTTTGGGACCAGGAATGCTTCGCAGTATTTAGGACGAACATCGTCAATATTTGCTTTGTCCAAAATAAAACTGCTCTACCCGACAGACGTGGTTAAGAGATATTTACAGATCGAGGTCATTTGCTTTGTCCAAAATAAAACTGCTCTACCCGACAGACGTGGTTAAGAGATATTTACAGATCGAGGTCAGTGGAAATGACGCTTCGTTCTGCTGGGATGGGTATTAACGTTTCATATCTGGTCGTATTTTGTCTGCAGTTTAATTCTAAAATTTATAGAAAATAACGTCCCCCTATTATTAAATGTTATCGCTTTGTAAGTTTGTTAATAGATGGCAACGACTACTGTCGACTACTAGGTAAAACGAAGCAAATCGATCATATCGATGTTATCTTCATTACTATTTTGGGACGGTGGGGTAGATAAGTGGCTACAGCGTTCGCTCGTCACACCGAACACCTGGGTGTGATTCTCCACATGAGTACAATGTGTGAAGCCCATCTATGGTGTCCCTCGCCGTGATACTGCTGGAATATTGCTAACAGCTCACTCACTCAATTACTTACTATTTTAGACTCGTGCGTTGCTCTGATGCAATGGTGTCTGTTATGAGTGAGTGAATTTAGTTTTACGCCGCACTCAGGAATATTCTAACTATATGGCGGCGGTCTGTAAATAATCGAATCTGGACCAGACAATCCAGTGATCAACAACATGAACATCGATCTACGCAATTGGGATACGATGACTTGTGTCAACCAAGTCAGCGAGCCTGACCACCCGATCCCGTTAGTCGCCTCTTACGACAAGCATGGGTTACTTAAGATCAATTCTAACCCTGATCTTCACGGGTTGGTGTCTGTTATGGCTTCTGATAACAGGTTAACGTATTGTCTTCATAAGACGCAGTGTATAGGGAATCCGATAACGGTAAACGTCGGGTTTCGGTTAAACGTTCTGCCTCGGAATGTAGATAACTTTTAAACGACGGTGTAAAAGTTATGTCTGAGATGGTGTTCATGTATATTTGTACACATTTGAAAAACTAAAGCAAGTTCGTAATCGTGATTTTGATCGAATTTATAAAAAATAGATCAACTCATCTAGAGCTCTCGTGTACCCTTGGGACTTGCAGTACACCACAAACATTTCCATAGACACTGGAAACTTTCGAGTGGTCGTTTAAAAAAAAGGGTAGGGTAAGGGTGCCACTTGTGTACTGCTTGTGGATGATAAATTCTGATTTTGAAAAGAGTGGATATCTGGTCGTTTCAATTTATCAGTCATTCAACTTACTCAATGACCCAACCTATTCAATCATTCAATCAACTGAATCACTGACCCAAACTATATTGAACAAACTTATGGATGTAACATGTGTTATATTTGGGATTACACTTTCTTAGTAAAGTACAGATTCTAGTACTTTTGTTGGGTTGAGTCTCATCCGGGATTCGAACCCATACCTTCAGAGTCAGGCACCAAATCGCCAGCACACAAAGTCAGCCGCCTAACCCGCTCAGCCACCGCGACTTCCACAAACTTATGGATAACAATTTCTTAACAATGAAACGGACTTCAGTAAACGCAAGCTCACCGAAGCCATCCACAAGAAACGCCAAAAGCCCACGAGCAATCGAGACCGAGGAAGCGTCACTCCATCCGCTTATGGTGCACTCCTCCAATAAAGCCGAAACTACTGTATATCATTTTTTCAAACTTCCCCCTTTCGATTTGTACATCTATGGCTTCCACGCCATGTTAATTATGTTGTTTTCTTTGTTACATTCAGTATATATACATCCCCTTACCTTCATGTTACATTCCTGCTTGACAACGGTACAAGAATCTGTATCGAAACGTCGCACTCACGAAACTTAAGAAGTTGTTATCCATAAAGTTTGTGTAATATTGTACGTCCCAACTTCTAAAATGCCCCTAAAAAATGTGACCCAAACTAATCAATCATTCACTCAACTTAATCACTGACGCATTTCTAAAAAAAATAAATCATTCATTCATTTCAGTATATAACGGTAAGGATTCACCCAGGTCAGATGATGACCCACGGGGGGACGTCGGAACCATGTGCCAACTCCGAGCTCCAGGCTATTGGACACATAAGTGCCGAGGAAAACATACAGATGTCCAAGGAAATTTCAGAATTCCTAAAAAGCAAACTTGGTATTGACAATACAAGGTAAGAAGCAATAGATGGTGCTTTCTGGAACTGCTGTAGTATATTCACAGGGAAAGGGTTTAGTGACACACAAGCAGCAAGCAGAATCAGTGTTAAACTTTTACTCTTATTACCTGGAAAGACAATGCTTCAAGGTATGGTTACGGCCAGCAGTCCATACGCAAGTTCACTCGGTCAGTAGCAAGTGAGTCCACATTGTGGCTGACCCCTCCGCCTCAATGAGATCCGTTAAAGTCCTGGGGACAGGCAGCGTTGTCCTGGGTACTGTTGTACAAAACAACCTTAGCGCTAAGCTACCTAAAGTCTATGTTAAGTTATGGGAGTTACGGTCACCTTAGCGCTAAGATCGCTTTCTACAACGGCACCCTGGGTCTCCTTTCACAAAGCACTAAGGTGATCGTAAGTCACCAAGGTAACCTTAGTGCAATGTTAAAGAATGGTAGGTAAGGTTAACCTTGGTAAAGGTTACTTCGTGAAAGGAGCCCCTGGGGACAGGCAGCGTTGTCTGGACTATTCGGATGACGTCGTAAACGTCGCTCCATCCCACCCCAGAAGTGTCCAACTGCTGGCAGACCAGGGCATCTTGCGGTCCAGGGAACACATTAACGTTGTTCTGAATAAGATACCGCTGCAACAACGTGTGGTCTGGCGTTATCGGGATGAAACGTCACCCCAAGGCTGTTCTGATGCAAGAACGATAAAGAGGTGTTGTCTGCTACCCTGGAGACGTCGATGTTCAGGAGACAGAATTGCCCGTCGGAATTGGTGTCTGGCACGGATGACATTCACGTTGGGAAAAATGCTCTCTCAGACTCAATTCTATTGCAAATTATGGTACGGTTTGTGAGGGTTGCTGGCTGGAACCTGTGTCTGAGGTGCGTGGTTCGAATCCATCTGTCTTGACGTGGGGTCGTTACGGGTGGGCGGCCACTACGGGGAGGGTCTGTTCCTTGATATTTTTGCTGAAAACGTCGCCATATGGGTTGGCCAGCTGCCACAAGTAGAGTGAAAATTCTGATTATTTTTTCTCTGTTTTCAGGAACTACATCAAATTCACCAACATGGAGCTGTGTGAGGTTGGGTATGGTGGGACCACGTTTGGGGAGCTGGTGAAAGACCCGAAATGGGCGGCTTTAATGTAACCTTCAAAGACACCAATCATCACATGATTATCTGTAGTGTCAGTAGTGAGGAGTTGTCACTCTCAACCTTATGATTAAAATGTTCTCCACCAGCAGCATCTGTGTGATGAGTAGTGTGCGAAATAGCCACTGGCCCGCTAGCCCGGGACTAGTAAAAGTCTAGTCGGACCAGAAAATCTCCACAGTCACTGACCCGACTGGCTTGTGAATTTCCATGGGTCATTTTTTAAATATTTGACTCTCTCGGACTTGTTAAGTTATATTATACTTTTTAATCATGCAAGATTGTGGCCTGATAAATAATGGTATTTTACCTTTTTTGTAATCTTTTCTTAGTTTCTACATTCAAATTTCGAGCTGTGAATTATTTTGAGGGCTGGTAACTTTCAGGCATAGCTAGCACGACTGGCTAGCAAAGTTCGGAAACTGTTTCGCACACTGGTGATGAGTCAATGTAACAGGAGAGCACCTACTGATGTAAAGCTTCTAGGAATCACCACTGAAGTAGGGGCGTTAAAATGTATCAGGTCGTTGTATTTCCCTTTAACATACTAATGCTTATTCTGCTGAGGTAATTTGAATAATGTCATGAAGCAAAATAAAACGGTTAATTAAATACAGTTACATTTTCAAAAGGCTTTTATATGACCTGTACGGGTTGCATTGTCAATTATCTATACTTTCGTAAGGAACTATTATTTTCAGTCGCGATGAAAAATATCTTACATATTAACATAATTGAATCAGTCGTTTGTTCCAAATTCAAATCCAGTGGTAAAGGACACGGCCCTGTGGGATATGCAGTTTTCCAGTTTGATGTGCGAACAACCTGGCGTTTCTTCCCATGGCCTTCCACTCCAAACTATGAAGGATGCTTTCTGTAGAATTATCTTTAAAGAGGAACCAATATGCGGAAAAGTCAAGATGGATTTGAAAATTGTATATTTTAATACAGATTTATTGATTTTCCTGTATTGCTATTAGAGAGAATTATGCAGACTGTGACCAACTAGATTTGTATTAAACATGTGCAACTGGAATTATTGGTTCCATTTTCTATGAGTGAATGTTGTTTTAGGCTGCAGTCAGAATGTTTCTAACTGCACCGTAGCCTGTAAATATGATCTCCGCCGGTCGTGAGAGGCAACCAATTTGATCTGGCGGCAGGTGTTGGTGGCCTGAGATCCCAGGACGGTGTTGATCGTATCTATCATAGGATTGTCTGGTCCAGACTTGATTTGTCGTCACATTGCTGGAATAGAACTTGTATCACTAATCAAAATTTGTAATTGGTTTAATGACAGGTCCATGTCAATGTCAATTTGTCCAAGTGTTTATTCTCCGTTACCGTTCCCATGGGTTATCTTCCAAAACTTAGACAGCCATAACTTAGACAGCCATATCTTAGATAGCCATATCTTAGACAGCCATAACTTAGACAGCCATATCTTAGACAGCCATATCTTAGACAGCCATATCTTAGACAGCCATAAGTTAGACAGCCATATCTTAGACAGCCATATCTTAGACATCCATATCTTAGACAGCCATAACTTAGACAGCCATAACTTAGACAGCCATATCTTAAACAGCCATAACTTAGACAGCCATAACTTAGACAGCCATAACTTAGACAGTCATAACTTAGACAGCCATAACTTAGATAGCCATATCTTAGACAGCCATAACGTAGACAGCCATATCTTAGACAGCCATATCTTAGACAGCCATAACTTAGACAGTCATATCTTAGACAGCCATATCTTAGACAACCATAACTTAGACACTAATGAAGTAGGGGATGACAACACCCATGGCTGAAATGGAACAGTCCTAATTAGTGTTCCCTGCTGAGGAGACCTAGCTTGTAAATAAATAAAACAATTGTAACTGTGAAGTATGTGTAACCTCAAATCTTTAAAGGGCATTTAGAAGTGGAATGCATAAGAAAAGCAAGATTTATGAATGTCAACTTCATTATTGTGAATAACACGACTTTTCGGAGTGTATGCTTACTCCTTCATCACCTGGACTCTCACCTGATGATTTCGTGTACAAATCATTTATTCTCAATCAAAAGTTTCAAAATGTAATGACTATGACTGCTATATAATTCTACATTGTGAACATTATATGTACTACGGGAATCAGTTCTTTTCCAAAGTTTTAGATCTTTTTCATGTCAGTGTATCTGTACTAATAGAATTACTGCCAGAAGATGAAATGATGTCTCTCTTTTCTGGAGGTGAAATACCAGTTACTGAACACATAGATGAAATGTCATGGAGATGTATGATTGTCCTATTTTGTAAATATCTGTATTCCATGGTATCCTCACTCTAGTGTGTATTTTAGATCCTTCCTTGCCTTTGCTCTGTACATGTGTGTACCCGCCTTGTGAATATGTTGTTGTGAATATGTGATGTATGTATGTATGTGATCTTCGAATTGAAATATGTAGTGAGAATGTTTTATAGTCAATATATGGCCGAATGCTGTTTGTCTGAGTAGGGTTAGTGTATATTATATTTTTAGATTTATATATTTATTTATTTGTTCAATTATTTATTTAACTTAGTAACTAAACTTACTAAGCAACTTACCAAACAACCAACCAACCAACTAACGACAACCGTTGCTATGGAGCTGTACTCATCAACTCTTCAAAATATAACTGAAGTGAAAGTTATATGTATTCTATCAATACAAATTAAAAGAATTCTGACAGCATGAATGGTTTTAACGGTGTCCTCCCATTTGTGAGAACTCCCAGTTGTGAGACACATTAATTAATGGTTCAGTGCACATAGGTGGTGTTTCCACATCCCTACAATGAAAGTGGGATCAGCCCAGTTGTTGAAGAGTACCCACAGGAGTCATTGATGAGTAGATTAATGAAATAGATTATCAAAGATTCTATTTACACACTGACTGACTGACTGAGTTTGGTTTTACGCCGCTTTTAGCAATATTCCAGTAACATCACGGCGGGGGACACCAGAAATGAGTTCTATTTACACAGAAGAAATAGACTATTATGAAGTTTGAAAGTAATTTCGGTTTAAACATATTTTATTATTATTTATGAAAATGAATTGGAATTGGTGATCAAGCATTACTGCTTATGTTAACACAGCTCCCATGCAATTTATAATACAAAATGAAATGGAGGATGTGACGTCATCGATATTGACTATTGCATAAATATATTTTTAAGTATATATCAAATACAACTATTCTCTAACTAGTCATAATTAGAGACTTACAGTTGTGTGTGTCTAACAAGCTATTGTAGGAATATAAATCAATCATGAGAAGGTTGTTGTGTAAAAATTAAGTATTTTCCTGAGAAAATTTGAAGCGTTGTGTCTTCATGATATAATCGTGGACAGATTCAAATTCTTTGTTTCTGTTCAAAATGGTATCCAGGTAATAACAATAATAACGGGTAGTGCCGGGTAAAAAGGATTTGGCATAAGAGGCAGAAACTTGTATTTCTTAAACTATATCTTGTAGTTTCGGAGAAGGATGTAAATCTGAGTAGGTAAATTAATTTCTCTTTCAAATGATCACAAAGTTACCTACACAAAGTGTATGTTAATCAATTTATCTTATAAAGTTTCATTAAGACTTCCACAAGATTCAGTTACATAGCAAATCAGTAATTAGCTAGGGTTAATCCATTCTATCAGACAGGGGAGTATGGTGTGTTTTGTTTGTTAATTACCTACTCCACTGTCTCATAACTGGGAGTCTCACAATTGGGAGTTCTCACAAATAGGAGTAGACCGTTTTAACAATATTGTCAACTGAAAAATAGTGTTTTCTTACATTTTCAAACGCGATTCTGGGTCAATTTCGTAGAACTTTAATTAACGGCTAATTAATGAAAACTATTGAGAACAGAAACACATTTCTGAGTGACATGACATTTCACAAGGCCAAATAAAGAGAATGACAAAATTTCAAGTGAATATGAAATTTTGGACTTATCCACCTCTGCATGATTCTTAGGCGTGATGTCCGATGCAATTCCCTATTTTGACTTGTACCATACGTTCCCAAATTATTTCAGGTGAACAACTAGGTCATCCTCGATAATCTCCAGGGTATACGTTACGATAACTCTCCACTATACCCTGGATGCATCCATGGCTTGGGGCGATGATTTTATTACCTCCCTTGCCTGGCTTTTTATCCAATCAGGTGCCTACGCTGGGAAGTTGAGCGTACCACTCACAACCAAACTGAAACATGAGTCTCATTAACCTATTCAGACAATTACCTACTTTTAAGCCGATCCGAATTTTTCTCGTGTGAAATTCAAAAAAGACATCACAAACAACCATGGTTACACTGAATTCCAATTCCTTGTTTCATAAGAAAATGGTATTTACTTATGAATTTTAATTTTAAACTTTAATAGCATCGTATTTCTTATTTTATGGCGAGGTGTAGGCAGCATAACCTTAACTAAGACGTCACAGACTGCCCCAGTTTGGTCGTAAAATGATTCACAATGCATCTGGCTCACTGGTTACACCTGTTATGTGTTTTTTGCGCTTATTCAATGTAGTTCTTTAAGGCACAATGTGATTGATATAATATCAAGTCAGTACCAGACCGACAAACCTTTCTAGCGGCAGAGCCTAGTTTTGAGATTTCCTCGATTTCCAGGTTTCTGTTTGTCAGAGCTCGCTGCACGACATGTTTGCAAGGATTATAAGGAACGTGGTGTTGCATTATACAAGTGCCTAGATGTATCATTTAGTACTGATCGATATTTATGTATCCAGTTAAATGAATTGGTCTCAAAATTCTATACTGGATATTGTACTAAGTTTCGCAATAGGACGGAACCCAGTCAACAGGAAACGAGACTGTTGTGTAATCAATGTTTGGACTTGCACTTTCGCTTCTTAAATTATCTAACCGTTTACACTTGGCAACACAATTGATGCAGAGGTACTCTATAAGAAGTAGAAGGAGTTCTTTCATATATTTTTTGAAAGTTTCAGATCTGTGAATTTGTCTTTAATATTTCCCCAAAAATCTGAGTGGCACTGCGAACAAACCTTCGCGACTGCGACCGCTATCTTTGTTGACACTGGCAAGCTCGGCTGTAACGGCGGCTTAGCTGATTGGCTACTGTGAGAATGCAGAGCCAGCCAATGGATGCATCCAGGGTATAGTGGAGAGTTATCGTAACGTATACCCTGGAGATTATCGAGGATGCAATTGGGTAGACTTTGCATATGTTTATGACGTGTGCCAACGGTGGGGCAGGATACGCTCACCTTTCCGCGAACACCTGGTATCATCACTGCTGATTCATAACACATGCTCTGTCTTCGTATCGCAAGGTGACAATCACTGAATTGTCTGGCGCAGACTCGGTTTGTTTACAACATCGACAGCTGTAATACTGCTGAAACAAATAGAGTCGCAATTCTACAAAATCTCTGCTCTTAGCTACAAGTCGTATGCTACAAGTCGTATACTACAAGTCGTATGCTACAAGTTGTTACTACAAGTCGTATGCTACAAGTTGTTACTACAAGTCGTATGCTGCAAGTTGTTACTACAAGTCGTATGCTACAAGTTGTTACTACAAGTCGTATGCAACAAGTTATTACTACAAGTCGTATGCTACAAGTTGTTACTACAAGTCGTATGCTACAAGTTGTTACTACAAGTCGTATGCTACAAGTCGTATACTACAACTCGTATGCTACAATTTCTTACTACAAGTCGTATGCTACACGTTGTTACTACAAGGCGTATGCTACAAGTCGTATACTACAAGTCGTATGCTACAAGTTGTTACTACAAGTCGTATACTACAAGTCGTATGCTACAAGTTGTTACTACAAGTCGTATGCTACAAGTCGTATACTACAAGTCGTATGCTACAAGTCGTATACTACAAGTCGTATACTACAAGTTGTTACTACAATTCGTATACTACAAGTTGCATACTACAAGTCGTATACTACAAGTCGTATGCTACAAGTTGTTACTACAAGTCACACCGTGAGAACGCACATTAATGAACATCAGAGTGTCCATCTCCATAAGGTTAAAATACCATCTGTATTAAAATATCATCTATTTCCAATGAATCTATTCTAGTCACATCCCTGGATTTGTATTCTTATTTGTGATAAGAAAAACTATTTTGCCTGCTTTTATGTGAATAATGGGAACCTCATAAACAACAACACATTAACACAGATAAACCTCTCACATGTCAGTAAGTACCGTGAGTAGTAGACTGAGTCAGTAACATGTCATCTATATCGTGAAACGTTGTCAACAGGTATGAAATCTGCAATATCACAAACAAAGTGCCCCCCGTTTCAGCTTACATAACGGCGTGCATAACAGCAAGCCCTGACCCAGTTCTAAAGTGTATGTGTAATACTGGCCCGGCTTAATGCAGGTTTGATATTGCTAGCTCTTCATGCCACAGCTTAATATGGATACCCAACTCTGTATACTAACTTCGAGACCCGTGAAGATCCGGGGTAGAATAGATCTTCAGCAACCCATGCTTGCCACAAAAGGCGACTATGCTTGTCGTAGGAGGCGGCTAACGAGACCCATCTCGTGTGAGTTTATCATGGTATAGAAGCGACAAAACCCAACCACATCCATAAGACATATCTGCGATTGTCCAATTCTGACTATAACATGAATATGTATTTCAACAATACGTAGAGGGTAATGTCCGAGTAACTCCCTATTTCTTAAAAATAATGGAGCCGAGGCCCCGGAGGGGCCGAGGCACATTATTTTTAAGGAATGGAGAGTTACGAGGATATTACCCTACTTAAATTACATTCGAAGTATTGGGAATATTTCTGTTATCAAAATTAAATGTCAAAATGACAAAATGAAGGTTTTATTTTGAAACTGGTACACATCGCTCCATTCCTGAAAAGTAATGGAGCGAACAGACAATGGAATGACGTCACAAATGTAATTTAATACAGCTGTACGATGTTGTTTGTCAACATTCGAGTCTGGACCAGAAAGTCATGTGATTGTTATAATGTGATAGAGCATGTGTTTATGAATCACTATGAAACAGTAAACTGATACCAGGTGTTCGCGAAGGTGAGCTGCCGTTGGCAGTCGTCATTCACATATGCAAAGTCACCTGAAATAATTCGTATGGTGCAAGTAAAATAGGGAATTGCATCAAACATCATGTTTGTCACTGATGCAACAAACTTCTGGAACGACTTCTATCAGGGTATATCATATCAATGACCCACTGACACGACTGCACGTTTGCATATTATAATCGTCCATACCAGCGATTGTCCAGCCCCTCTGCATTCACGTTGGGGTGCAGTACGTACCAGCTTGAACCTATAAACAAACAACACCCTTCGGAAATGCAAACAACAAAGTTCTTGATATATAAGCGAAGACAGAGGCGAGTGTCAACTAAATACTTTGTGTTGGAGTCAGCGTAGCAATGCCGGTTTTTAGTCTCTTCACGAATGTGGCAGCTAGGGACATCCCGGAGGGGTTTCTGTTGGAAACCTCAAAAATCATCACCAAAGCTATTCGGAAACCGGAACAAGTAAGTTTAAGATTCCATGCACCCGGGAAACATTTATTTATTTGTGAATTGTATGAGGCAATTTTCTTTGAAGTAGACATTTGATTATTACAATGTTATATCAAACTAACAGAGGGGATAATGACCAGACGAAAACGCGTGTGTGTGTGTGCGTGCGTGCGTGCGTGCATGCGTCTGTCTGTGTGTCTAAGTCTCTGTGTGTGTTTCTCTCTGTTTGTGTGTCTGTGTGTGTGTTCTCTGTCTGTGACAGTCTCTCTGTCTGTCTGTCTGAGTGTGTGGTGGTGTGTGTCCGTCTCTCTCTGTGTTTGTGTGTGTGTGCGTGTGTGTTTATATGTGTCTAAGTCTCTGTGTGTGTTTCTCTATGGTTGTGTGTGTCTGTGTGTGTGTCTGTGTGTGTGTGTTCTCTCTCTGTGACAGTCTCTCTGTCTGTCTGAGTGTGTGGTGGTGTGTGTCCGTCTCTCTCGGTGTCTGTGTGTGTGCGTGTGTGCGTGTGTGTGTCTGTCTGTGTGTCTAGGTCTCTGTGTGTGTTTCTCTCTGTTTGTGTGTCTGTGTGTGTGTGTTCTCTGTCTGTCTGAGTGTGTGGTGGTGTGTGTCCGTCTCTCTCTGTGTCTGTGTGTGTGCGTGCGTGTGAGTGTGTGTCTGTCTGTGTGTCTAGGTCTCTGTTTGTGTGTCTGTGTGTGTGTGTTCTCTGTCTGTCTGAGTGTGTAGTGGTGTGTGTCCGTCTCTCTCTGTGTCTGTGTGTGCGGGTGTGTGTGTCTCTAAGTGTCTGTGTGTGTTTCTCTGTTTGTGTGTCTGTGTGTGTGTTCTCTGTCTGTGACAGTCTCTCTGTCTGTCTGAGTGTGTGGTGGTGTGTGTCCGTCTCTCTCTCTGTCTGTGTGTGTGCGTGCGTGCGTGTGTGTGTGTGTGTGTGTGTCTGTCTGTGTCTAAGTCTCTGTGTGTGTTTCTCTCTGGTTGTGTGCCTCTCTCTCTCTCTCTCTCTCTCTCTCTCTCTCTCTCTCTCTCTCTCTCTCTCTCTCTCTCTCTCTCTCTCTCTCTCTCTCTCTCTCTCTCTCTCTCTCTCTCTCTCTCTCTCTCTCTCTCTCTCTCTCTCTGTCTCGCTGATATTAACTGAAACAGACAACTCGGTGTATGTATTTAGGTCGTACATCGTCAATGTTTGCGTGTTATAAAATTAGAGCTCTAAGCTACCCGTCAGACGGGACTTACAATAGGTATTTCCAGGTCAGTGAGAATGACGCTATGACGCTTCGTACTGCTGGAAAGTGTATTAAACTTTAGGGCTGGTCGTATTTTGTCTGCAGTTTGATCATCAAATGTATTGAAAATAACGTCATTGGGTAATTGGGTAATTATGTTGCTAAAATCATTATCTAAACAGTTTGCCTGGAATATAATTTTGTCAACAAAAGGAAAAGCTTCAGCCTTGCTTTCCATTTTTGAGCAAAAATGCTTGTAAAAAGTAGCTCTTCACGCAAAAACTAAAAGTCGCTCCATAATGGAGTTATTTGCGAAAATACGAAATTTTTCCTTCAGCATTTCCATGAAATCCAACATTCTGAAATCCTGTGGTAACATTATTAATGATAAATAAAACACTTTTTTTAAATTTGAATTTTGCACTCATTGACCTTTGACCCAAATTTGTGACATAATTGGGCATTTTTGAGCTTAACAAACAACAGATTCGTACCCAGCACGAAAAACTACCCTAGAAAATGCTGTTTGTTTGCTTTTACTCAAAAATGCCTCATGCATCCTTAAAATCCACATTTCTTAGAAATTCGACTAGAGTCTACTATAACATGTTCTGGCTCTAGATTTAGAGAACTAATAAAAGATGTTGAGTCATTGGGTATTCAGCCTCTTTATCATTCATGATAAAAAGTTGCCTGGGAGAAATGTACGTCCCAATGTTTAATGGAGGAGTGAGTAAGTGAGTATGGTTTTACGCCGCTTTTAGCAATATCACGGCGGGAGACACTAGTGGAGTGGAGGAAATACGGTACTACCATAAAAGTTCAAATTGTGTACCATTGCTCAAGATGTTGTTTAGTCATTGGGTATTCAGCCATTTTATTATTCATTTTAGGTATTGATAACTTTTGTTAGATTTTCAAAACATTTTCACATCGCTGAGTCCAGTCTGTGTGGTATTGATGAACTGACAAGAACGAGTAAACCTCCGAAACAACATGTCTGCCTTGACGCTGTGTCAGGTGAGGCGAGGTGAAATTGGGTTTAACGTCGTGCTTGAGAATATTTCGCTCATATGACGACGTGCATGCGTGTGTATGTGTATGTGCGGCTGCTTGTACTAGCCCAGACTTAAGCTGGTTTTATAGTGCTAGCTCACTTAGATACCATGTCGCAGTGAAGCATGAATACCCCACTCAGACACATTATACTGAATCCGAGCCGACCAGTCCTTGTTGTACCCATTAATGCCGAGCGCCAGGCAGGGACCAACATGTACCATATTTTAACGTCTTTTGGTATGACGCGGTCGGGGATCAAAATGTTAGAAATGTATTTGATAATTTCAAGGTAAAGAAGCCATTTGTCGACTGCATGTGGATGATCAATTCCAATATTGAAATGAATGGGTATTGGGTAGTTCCAACTCACCCAATCACCCACCTACTCAATCATTCATTCAACTCAATAATTGACCCAACTTTCTCTACTAATCATTCAGCTCACTCACTGACCCAACCTGCTCAACCATTCATTCAGCTCACTCACTGACCCAACCTACTCAATTATTCATCCAGCTCAATCATTGACCCAACCTGCTCAATCATTCATTCAGCTCAATCATTGACCCAAGCTGCTCGATCATTCATTCAGCTCACTTATTGACCCAACCTGCTCAACTATTCATTCAGCTCAATCTTTGACCCAACCTGCTCAACTATTCATTCAGCTCAATCATTGACCCAACCTGCTCAACCACTCATTCAGCTCACTCATTGACCCAACTTGCTCAATCATTAATTCAGCTCACTCACTGACCAAACTTACTCAACCATTGATTCAGCTCGATCATTGACCCAACCCGCTCAATCATTCATTCAGCTCACTCACTGACCCAACCTACTCAGTCATTCATTCATCTCACTTATTGACCCAATATACTCAGTCATTCATGCAGCTCAATCTTTCACCCAACCTACTCAATCATTCATTCAGCTCAATCATTGACCCAATATACTCAGTCATTCATTCAACTCACTCATTCGCCCAACTTACGCAATCATTCATTCAACTCACTCACTGACCCAACCTTCTCAATCAATCATTCAGCTCAATGATTGACCCAATATACTTAATCATTCATTCAGCTCACTCACAGACCCAACCTGCTCAACCATTCATTCAACTCACCCATTGACCCAACCTGCTCAATCATTCATTCAGCTCAATCATTGAACCAAGCTGCTCAACAATTCATTCAGGTCAATCATTGACCCAACCAACTCAACCATTCATTCAGCTCACTCATTGACCCAACCTACTCAATCATTCATTCAAGTCAATGTTTGACCCAACCTGCTCAACTATTCATTCAGCTCAATCATTGACTCAAGCTGCTCAACCACTCATTCCGCTCAATCATTGACCCAACCTGCTCAACCACTCTTTCAGCTCAATCATTGACCCAACTTGCTCAATCATTAACTCAGCTCAATCATTGACCCAACCTACTCAATCATCCATTCAGCTCAATCATTGACCCAACCTGCTCAGTCATTCATTCAGCTCAATGATTGACCCAATATACTAAATCATTCATTCATTTCACTCACTGACCCAACCTGCTCAACCATTCATTCAGCTCACTCACTGACCCAACCTACTAAATCATTCATTCAATCCCATTCTAATTCATTCATTCAGCTCAATCAATGACCCAACCTGCTCAACCATTCATTCAGCTCACTCATTGACCCCAACCTCAACCACATTCAACTCAATCATTCAATTCAATCTCATTCAAATCCATTGACCCAACCTGTAACCATTAATTCAACTCAATCATTCACTCAACCTGCTCAATCATTCATTCAACTCAATGTTTGACCCAACCTGCTCAACCATCACTCATTGCTCGCTATTCAACTCATTGACCTAACCTGCTCAACCATTAATTCAGCTAAATCATTCACTCAACCTGCTCAGTCATTCATTCAGCTCACTCATTGACACAACTTACGCAATCATTCATTCATCTCACTCACTGACCCAACTTGCTCAATCAATCATTCAGCTCAATGATTGACTCAATATACTTAATCATCCATTCAGCTCACTCACTGACCCAACCTGCTCAACCATTCATTCAGCTCACTCACTGACACAACCTACTCAATCATTCATTCAACTCTCCCATTGACCCAACCTGCTCAATCATTCATTCAGCTCAATCATTGAACCAAGCTGCTCAACCATTCATTCCGCTCAACCATTGACCCAACCTGCTCAACCATTCATTCAGCTCAATCATTGACCCAACCTGCTCAACCATTCATTCAGCTCAATCATTGACCCCAACCTGCTCAACCATTAATTCAACTCAATCATTCACTCATTCAATGTTTGACCCAACCTGCTCACTTAATCACTGACCTAACCTGCTCAACTATTCATTCAGCTAACTCATTGACCTAACCTGCTCAACTATTCATTCAGCTCACTCATTGACCTAACCTGCTCAACCATTAATTCAGCTAAATCATTCACTCAACCTGCTCAGTCATTCATTCAGCTCACTCATTGACCTAACCTACTCAATTATTCATTCAATCAACTCACTCCTTGAACCAACCTACTCAATCATTCATTCAATTCCCTCATTGACCTAACCTACTAAATAATTACCTGAACTTAATTATTGACACATTTTTCAAAATAATCAATCATTTACACAAGTATGTTGCTTTATTTCAGTATATTACGGTCAGGATTCATCCAGGCCAGATGATGAGCCACGGGGGTACGACTGACCCATGTGCCAACTCCGAGCTTCGGAGTATCCGAAACATGGGGCCGGAAGAAAACGCTCAGATGTCCAAACAAATTTCAGAATTCCTGAAAAGCAAACTTGGAATTGACAATACAAGGTAAGAAGCAACATATGATGCTTTCTGGAACTGCTGTAGTATATTCAAAGGTAAAGGGTTTTGTGACACACAAGCAGCAAGCAGAATCAGTGTTAAACTTTACTGTTATTGCCTGGAAAGACAAATGCTTCAAGGTATGGTTACGGCCAGCAGTCCATAAACAAGTTCACTCGGTCAGTAGCAAGTGTGTCCACCCTGTGCCTGGCGCCTCCGCCTCAATGAGATCCCATTAACGTTCTGGGGACAGGCAGTGTTGTCTGGACTATCGGATAACGTCGCCAGGGGATCTGGCGGTTTGGCCATTCACGTTCTCGCAGATTCAATTCTGTTGCCAAGTGTAAGGGTTGCTGGCTATATCCTGTGCCGGAGGTGCCTGGTTCGAATCCATCATTCTTGACGTGGGGTCGTTACTGGTGGGCGACAGCCCAACAGCTAACGTGATTGTTTTGCTGAAAACGTGGCCTTACAATGGAAGTTGAATCGGCGAGAAATCGTGGCATATGGCGGTGTAACGATGCAGTTCCTTGCAATACAAAATAGACTTCGTTTCTGGGTTGTTGTACTCAGACACAAAATACGATACACGAGGCTCATTTGACATGTTGGAATTCTGAGGATTTGAATGTAAAACGTCATGGCCAGTGGGTCATTTGAGTTATTTTAAATGCTAAAATTAATGCTGCATTTAAATATTTATTTTATCTCAACATTCATTATTTAGTAATTCCGGTCCATCAATACATCACGACATGCGACGACCTAGGTGGTCAGTATTGACGTGGTCAGAAGTCTGAGAATTCTGATTTCCGGTTTTCTTTGTTTTCAGGAACTACATCAAATTCACCGACCTGTCGCCCCATGAGGTTGGGTATGAGGGGACCACGTTTGGAGAGCTGGTGAAAGACCCGAAATGGGCGACCCTACTGGCGCAGTGACATTCAAAGACACCAAACACTTCATGACTATACGTGTAGCAGCGGTGAAGAGTTTGAAATCACTCTCAAGCTCATGATTAAATTGTTCTCCTGCAGCAGCATTTGAGTGATGAGTTAATGTAATAATGTAACAGTAAAACACCTACCGGTAAATATAATCTGTCAACTTTGGGACTGCATTTTGGCAAATATCTTTTTTGTTATTCGTTTCAATGTAAAAGTGTTTACATGTACCTTCATGTTTCTCTGTGACTTAACATGAAGCTATTTTTAATGCTACGGTGATCCCCTATTAAACTCTTTATATAACTATCATTATTTTTTCGTGATTGTTTTGGGGGCGGT